GGTTCTGTAAAACCGATAAGATTACTCTTTTCAGACTTAGTAAGAAACTTAGAGGGGTAATTTGAAAATCCAGTAAATGCATTAATTTGATTTCTTGTATTTAGGTAGGATTCGCACCTCAATCAAGGGCTAGAAATAAAAGATAATGGGGCAGTAACCGTTTCCTTGACATGAAAACCATAACCACCAAAGAATGCTAGCCCGTTCTTCGCCTCTTCCACTGAGAGCCTAGCACTTATCACTTATTGGTCCCTCTTCCAAGGGGAGGGGGGAGGAGGAAGGAAAGTGAGTACTCTCAACATTACTCTACGTTCGCTTTCCAAAACAAATATGAAGGGGGGAGGGGAGAGGGGAGGGAAGCGAGTACACCCATAATTAATCTACACCCGCCTACAAAAAAAATATGGTTTTCAAAGAAAATGTCTTAAATTTAAATGAATTTTTAAAAAAATCATCTTCGATCACCAGACTTAAGATTAAAAAAAGTTCGTTCGCGAAGCAATTAGCAATTAGCTAAATTGTTATATCCGTCAATCAAAAAGACTTATTTATCTTATATACGAAACTTTTGGTAATAAGTAATAAAGCGACTACATTAATTCGAATAATACCTATATACAATATATGTCAATATTGAAGAAAATTAAAGCTATCTCTTACATAGAAAACATGAATACAAACAGGAGCCCATCACCTGATGGGCTCCTGATACAAACTATTTAGGAGATCTGGAGCAATTACTTTTCAACTTATCATTTATTGCTAACGCTTCCTCTTAACTTTCCATGATTGGTTTAAAAGTCTCCTCAGCTTTCAGTTCTGAACCAATCATCTACGAAAACCGTCTGGTGGTCATACGCGTTTTCCCCGCACCTCCTTGGGTTTTTTTTTTAATTGATTCACTAACCTGTGATTTACTTTCTTAGCTTCTTAGCAAAAAGAACTTAAATGCACTTCCATGGTATGACTCGTTCTTTTAGTATCTAGCTAGACAAGATTATTTACACAACTAGATAATTGGGTTAACTGAAAGATTTAATTCTTTACACTTCTTGGTAGAGATACGTCTGTCATTTACATCGCCATTTCACGAATACGTTTTTGAAATCGATACTTTTTTACTTATTATATGTTACTCAAATATCTGAATACGATTGTTGTCCATATCGGCGACAACAATCCGCCCTGTAGAAAGATCCGCCAGAGACCTTGGACCATAGAATTCTCCTAAATTGCCACCTTCAGTTCCAAACTTACTGAAAAACTTTCCATTCAGTTCAAATACTTGTACTCTATTATTATATGAGTCACAAACCATCAGGTCTCCTGATTTGTTCACTAACAAACATCCGGAATTATAAAACTCCCCGTACCCACCACCCCTCTTTCCAAACTTGTACTGAAAGTTTCCTTTCC